AGAGTGGAGCATATCAAGTGTGCTGAAATATTTCATTTATTATCCCCCCCGAAAGAGATGCATTAGCCCCAGGTGGGAATGGAAACGTTGCTCTTCAACGCAGTCCCTGTTTTTCCAGGACTTTTGGAATGCAATACTTAACCAAACCAGGGAGCTGTTCAAGTATGTGGCAAAGGCTCAGACATTCCAATGACCGGTGGTTTTATTTGTAGGCCTTTTCCAAGCTGTGACTCAAATTGATATCCACAGCTTAATTAAGGTATTCAAATTTGAAATAGTGCTGGCATGAATTAGTAATTTGTAGCACCTTTATTTCTAGCATTCCTGTATAAGGATAAAAATAGAAACACTTTCTCTTTCAAGCACTCTCCTGTGCATTGTGAAGCTCCAAGTTTCCCTTTATACATCAAGCAGAGATTAGAGCTTTCTTTTGAGTGTTTACCACAGTTCCAGTTAGCTCAGCAGCCCGTTCCCTCTTTCGGTTCTTGCACCACATGGCCAAGCCTTTCCTGTAGACCAATGGTTGCCAGTCTTGGGTCCTTCTGGACTAAAACTCCTAGAAGCCTTCACGACTGGCTGTACTGGCCAGGACTTTTGGGAGTTGTAGTCCAAGAACACATGGGCACCCAAGTTTGGGAAGCACTGCTTTAGGCACAATGAGTAAGTCACCTCAAGTAGCAAATGCTAGCAGGAAAAAAAAACAGTGGCAAGGGGACAAGCAGAGTTGGCCCTCTGCTTACACAATGTGAGGCAACTGCCTCCAGTGAAAAATTGAGAGTAGCCCTCCCTCGTTATTTCTCCTAAACCACACAACTTTTCTCTCCTTTTGGGAGACAGGGTTGTGTGTTCCACACAACTTGCCCTAGATTCTGTAAACCACTCTGCTATTCTCAGTGCCAGTGATGAAATCAGGTTGAAGTATCAGTCTGGATGGCTCCTGTACAATGGAATGGAAGAAGGTGACATCTTGTCCTGTGTGTCAGGCTGCAAATATCTGGGGCTGGCACTGGAGGACAGAGCTGTGTGCTGATATTCAAGCCTGAAGTTTGTAGTTAAATTATTTGTAGAACTGGTGAGGGACCACACTAATCCATGCACCTGAATGGAGTAAGGCAGCTCATGGGCTTCTGAACAGACTATGTCCTGTGAGCTGTCCCGCTGCCCTCAAGAGGCAGGAAAGATGCTGTCCCGCATCCATGTCGAGACTGCCAAGTCAGTTGGCTTCTGTCAATGGAATGGGGAAGGGACCATCTTGGACCTACCCTCAGGAAACAAAATGGCTTGGACAGAACCTGTTGCACCACTGGAGAAAGTAGCTGTGATGAGTTAACTCTGTGTGCTTATTGCAATGTTGCAGAGGATGAATGGGAACTTTCACAAAGACCTTATCTTTCTGGGTTGTCCCTCCCTTTCCTCCTTGTTTATCCAAAGACTCAGATTTATTCATGGTACATGAGTGTGAATTTAATAATAGAATCAAAAGTCAGTCCAATTGTATTCAATTGTATTTCATCCTAGCAAGGGCGTTTGGAGGTCTGCAGGGAATTAGGTCTGCTGTGTCATGTTCTGTTTTGCAGATTTGCCCAGTGCCTTAAAAAAACTGTCCACAAAGGTCAGGATCAGAGTTATGAAGATGTCCCAGTATACAAAATTCAATGTGAAGCTTGAGGAGGTCACAGACTCTACGCAGAATTATGTTCAGACCTTTCTCCCTACCTGAAGAAATATGTGATACAAGAAATACAGGTTCTTATTAGCAAGAAAATTGCCCCCCAAAACTTATTGATGCTGTGGTCCAAGTATAAGCTTAGAAAACAGATCGGGTGATTGACTGATTGACTGATTGACTGATTGACTGATTGATTGATTGGTTGAATTTATATACCACCCCATTAGTGCAAAAACCCTACTCTGGATGGTTTACAATCAATTTGGAGATGGACACAAACTACCGGATCGGTGATTCGCTTCAGTTCATTTACTACTGCAACAGATTTTTGGGTGGTTCAGTGCCCCACCCACTTTGGTAGGTTCCCACTTGGAAGCAGCATCCCAGCTTCCCTGCGACACCTCCTCCAGGCACTGCTCCTCAGTGGGCAGCCACTGGAGGGAGTGGGGCACTGAACTGCCCAATACTTGTTGCAGCAGTAAACGAACTGGTTCGTGCCCATCTCTAGTTCCAAGCACAGGACTTGAGTCACTGCCAAAACTTTTAGCAACCCCATCTAGCATTGGAATATCATCAGTAAATTCAGAAGAAACTAGGACCTGGCAGCTGCCAAGGACCTAGAACCAAACCAAACAGCTGGTGGTTTTCAAGAAAAGATGGTATGAGATCCGGGATGGTATGAGGTCTCCTGCCTTGGGCAGGGGGTTGGACTGGAAGACCTCCAAGGTCCCTTCCAACCCTACGATGATTCTATGATTCCATGATGGTTCTATGAACCAGTTATGTTCATGATTACCATACAGCCTAGAAGTAACATGTCAGAAGTGATATTTGGCTTTTTTAAAGGAGGAAGGCACAGCATTAATACTTTAAAAAATTTCAAAGAGAATGACATTAATGTTAGGATTTCTACAAACTGGATGTTTACTTAAAGGCTGGAATCCTGCTGGTGCACTTCCATGTGCAAAAGGCATCAACTGCTGCCTTTTTTCTTTAATTAAAAGTTACCTATCCAAACACCAGCACCCCCAGGTTCTGAGGCTCCCTAGATATCTCATCCAGGCTGGAGTAGACTTTGGGAGCCTTGGGACAAGGAGGAGCCTTTAATGTCCAAAAATTAAATGTATCCAGGGATCCTTAGGACGCCTCAGAACCTGGGTTGATGAGAAGCCTACAGCTGGTGATATCATCGGCTTTACATGCATGGAGCACAACAAGAGTATTCCGTATGATATTTTAGAAAAGTTACTTTGAGAAGGTTTGGCGGCATCTTAGTTATTTAAATTAAGGTGAAATATGATGGTGGGGTCTCGACTTACGAACGACCCTACTTGCGAACAATTCAACTTACGAACCCGCCCTATAGGGAAATAAGTACTCGACATGCAAACTTCCCTCGAGATACGAACAGGAAAAAAAGTGCCCCCTCCCTCCCCTTAGAGACTTCTGGAGGGGAAAAAAGTTCAGAAACTTAAAAATAAATAAAAGAAAGTCACTTACCAGGCCTTGGTAGCCCCCAAACAGCAAGAAAAAGAGCAGCAAACAGCTAAAAGCCCACACCAGAAGGGAGCTTGGCAGCCATTTTGTGCTTCCCCCCCTCCTGCCCCCTCCTCTCCCCGCCTATCAGCTGATCGGCTGGCTCTGGGGAGGCTTGCTCAGCACCTAAAAATCCTGCCTGTGTGTCTTTGTGTTGAAAAAATCAGCATAACATGCTTTAAAACATGATTTAAAATTGGCTTCGTTGAAAAAAAAAAGATTTCAAAAGTGCTTTGCAAACTGTTCCCTGCCTTCCCCCTTGTTTCCTGAACCTAAGGGGGGAAAAAAAGAGAAAAAATCCCCCTCTAGTGGCAGAAGGTGGAATAGCAGCGTCCCATTAGTTTCTATGGACGGAAAAGAGCAGATACGGATTAAATGTTTTTCGATGCATTCCTATGGGAAATGCAGATTCGACCTACAAACTTTTCGACCTACGAACCACCTTCCAATACGGATTAAGTTCGTAAGTCGAGACCCCACTGTAACACATTAATAACGCACTGTTATTCATTACTATTAATTAACAAATTAATTTTCCGAAACAGTGACTAACAAGCAATGTGTTGCTTTTTTTCACATAATTAATGTGGTCTGAGCTTTTCAATTGTATCATACACTACAAATTTTACAACCAAAGTTAAATTGTTGCAGTCATTTATTAGTTCCAAACAATTCCATATGTCTTACTGTAGAGTATTGTTGAGATGAAAGAACTTTCGAAGATGAGACTACGTACGTATAGTCCTCATAAATGGCTTGACTGAAGCCTTTAAGGGAAGAAGTGCTCAGTGGCAAGCTAGAATGAATGAGCTTAGTCCTATTCTCCTTGGCAACGGAATATTGTTTCCTTGGCTCTTCTCACATTCTCTAATGCAAATTGAACTGATTTTTGTGCGCAGGCTGAATTAGCAAGCAGATGGAATATCCTTTTCATGTATTTGGTACTATTTGTTATGATTCCATTATAACTGTGAGACTTTTTCCTTTAAACTGCAGTGTATACATTTGCCATTTGCTGTACCCCTCCTTCCTTTGAGAACTGTTGCCATGAAGTGGATAGAGTGATGGACTAGGACTCAAGGGAGCTGGGTTTAAATCTATGATTGACCATGGAGTGATGGGGAGGTTGTAAAACTACTCTTGCACACCTTGAGAACAGAGTACTATAAGTCAGATGTTATTTAATAGCACATAATAAACACACATAACACACATCTTTCCTTTGATGGACAGAACAGTATCTCAGTGGATTATGAGAATATTTGGACTGATTGGCCACAAAGCTTGCATGTAAGGATTATCCAGCTTCTTTTTGAACTCAGACTAATGGCTGCCCTGTTTTAGTCAATAGAGATTGCTTAAGCATTTAGATTTATATTAGCAAATGCTGTATTGCTCTGTATAACTGTACATTCAGGTAAAGAAATTTGGTTGACTTTTAATATTTGCAAGTTACTATTCCAACAAAGCCCCAGAGGACCTATATCATTAAAGTTTGTACTTGCATGTAGTTTTGTTACAATGTATCTGTGAAGATTCTCTTTCATCCAGGTGAGGTTATCTGGAAGTTGAGTCATGGCAACTGGACTTCTTTCTTGTTAGGTTGAAACATTTCACTACCCATCCAAGTATCTTCTTCAGTCTGAGGAGAGTTGGTAGGAGGCTCCTGATATATCCTCCGCATTGGTTTCACTTCCACCTAGTCTGAATCAAAGTGGAGGATATATCAGGGGTCTCCTACCAACTCTCTCCAGACTGAAGAAGCTACTTGGATGGGTAGCAAAGCGTTTCAGCCTAACAAGAAAGAAGTCCAGTTGCCATGACTCTAGTTCCAGACTTCGTTACTCTCCTTCTGCAAACAAAAAAGATGCATTTCTGGTACAGTGAGTCACATCTGATTTAAGACCACAATTTTTGTCTATCTTATAAAGATCTCATTAGCTCTTTGCCAAAAGGTGCCATCTAAGGCACAGTTCTTACTAAGATGATCACCTTGCACCACATCAGACTTTTAACATGGAAGTTGCGTAATGGACAAGTTATGTGAAGCAATATGTGCCCTTGAGCACTCACCCTTTAAGGAGCCACAGTTGTTTAATGGACAGAACATAGGGCTGAACACTTGGAGCAGCAACTGAGCCAAATAGGTCTTGATGCAATAACTGTTCCTTTAGTTTCCGACTCCCTCAAGCCTTATACCCATGTGGTCCCACAGAAACTGCTTCCTAGTGAGGCACCTCCTCAACCCAATCCACCCCTTAAATCTCGCAGTTATAATGGAATCATAAAAAACAGTACCAAAGACATGAAAAGGATATTCCATCTGCTTGCTAACTCAGCCTACATACAAACATCAGTTCAATTTACACCTATACGGGACAGCAGGAGGCCTTTCCCTGTTGCAAAGATGTGCTCATTAAACCTCTATGTGTAGAAGAAGAGCCGAGACCAACATTCACAGAGATGCTCATTTAATCTACACAATATTATATCAGCAGTCCACTATAGTAGAACTAAATGCCCATTATTTATCATTGTTATCTTCCTTTCCCTCCTTTGACACACATTTATTATATAAATAAAATGCTCTTTTTATATACATGTAAGAGTTACATTTGTGGTTGTTGTGCTTTATTAAAATTTAAGTCTCTATGGGATATAGTTGAGAAAATTTCCTTAGAAAAATATATGATTTACTTCTACACCAAAATATTTTATATACACTTTCCATAATGGGTTATTGCTAGAAGCTGTTCACAGTATATTATTACATTTTAAAATATTGTAACTGAACAGTGGCAAGCTCTGTGTCATTGTCTACCACCTTCTTTCTGCCCTCTCCTGACAGGGCTTATGCTGTAAATGGTCCTGGATACAGTACTCAGCCTTCTTCACTAGAGATCCATATAGAGAAGTTCCTGGAAGACTTTGATCACATGTTGTGGTTGGCTGGTGATGAATTCCTCAAGTCTGGGCCCCATTTGCTTGTGAAGGCTTTTAGCAAGTTTAGAGACCACAGTTCTTACATTTCCAGTCTTTCCAGGCAACACCCCGTTGCCAATCATGTTGTTCAGGAAATAGCACAGAACAGGGAGGATGTGTCGCTCTACTGGCTGGGGCTTCCGTGGATAAACCAAAGTCACAAGCACTGTAATGCAAAAGATGGAAAGACTATATAAATTAAAAAGGTGATCATTTTTGTGAACATCATCGTTAGTCCATTATCAGTGTACAACTCCTTTCTTGAAGCCCATATGCTGCCATGCTTTTATTAGTTTTGTTGTTACTCTAGGAAGTCTTATAAAGGACCTAGGACTCGGATATGATGGACAGCTCTGCCCTCTCTCTGGCTCTTTGGCTCAAGTGACCACAGTTTATGGGCAGAGTCGAAGAGTAGACAGGTAGAGTGAAATTTGATCTTGGACAAGGTTCGACTCAGAGAAGGATATTGGGGAGCGTAAGTGTGGAGGAAAGATGAGGAGGAGAATTGTCATGCAAAGCACCATTACCATCTACCTCCATGTAGCTTATAACTTTGTTCCAGCCTTTTAAAATAAAGTGTACTGTTTTTTGCACTAAATTCTGCCTATATCTACTGATTTGGGGGACTCCCAAAACATGGAAAGCATACATCACCCATTTGTCTCATGGTATTCCTTTATTTCATGGTAGGTTTGAAGCAGCAGCCCTGGGAAATAAACAGTGGCCATCATGTGAGAAGAGTCCTTGTCTGTACCACAACACAGGGTACCTAAAGGACAGTGTTACCTTGCACGTCCCCTGCCTGGCCCCTGTAGGACATTCCAGAGTAGTAGTGTCTCATGTTCCAATTGTTGAATCTATGACCCATAAGACTGAGCATTCAACACCTGCCTTGTGGAAATTTATCCTTCTTAGTATCAGGCAAGTACTCATCACATTAATTTTTAGATATCCACTTAACCTATTTGTTTAAGCACACCTTTCCTGACATCTAGTGCTAGATAACTATTGTTTTATCAATGTATATGGTACATTGAACATTCATATTGTTTCCAGCATTGCACTGTCTTATGCTGTGCACCACTTGTTATGCTGTGTGTCAGGCAGTACAATAAATCCAAGTGTGCATCAGCAAAAAGAAAACATTCTCATAACTGAGATTCAAAAGTCAGATAAAGAAAGAAGCATACTTTTTGCAAACAGACTCTCTGCCAGGCACCCCTTAATAATGCCACACCAAGGAGTAAAAGGACTTGGGCCAGCCCTGGTTTCCAGTGACATCTCCTTCACTTTCTCTCAATGATAGCTGAAGTCTGTTGTTTAGCATGACAGTCCGAGAATACTTACTCAGAACAGGCTGCTAGACTCAGCGATCAACAGAAGCCGACCCTGGTCTTTGCTTTAATAGCCTACCATTACTCTTCTGACAGAGGCTGCTCTTTTTCCAAAGCAAAACAGCCATTTCGTAGCCCTGTGGGGGTTGAAGGGCAAGAGTGAATGTGGGCCCATATTTTCTGAGGGGGGACACATCAACTATAGACATAACAACTGCAGTAGATCATAGCTTTCTTTGCTGAACCTGCTGAATTAGGAAGCTGAAGGTGTTGAACTCACTCCCTAATGATATAAACAACAGCGCAACTTTTAGAGGTGGCATGTCAGGGCTCAATGTGTTTTCAAAGACTGGGGTGGAGTGGGGACAGTAGACTTGAACTGGTATTGTTGTTCTACTACTAATACTACTGTGTGGCGTTGTAATTTTATAGTTAATGTAATTTTTTTGATGTCAATTTTAATTTACAGGCCACATGCAGCCCTCTAGGGGCCCAGAGGTGCCCTCTAGCATTCTCAATCCTCTCCCCACAAATTAAAAAACTGGAAACATGTTTTAGCTAAAGGAGCCCCTTTGCACCCCATGGGGGCATTGGGGCAATTTCATCATGTTTTGAGGACCCCACAGCACTCTTAAGGCTCCTTGTACCTCCCAAATTTTGATTTTTTTAAAAAAAATAGGGGGGCAATAGAAGACACAAGGAGGGCTTTTCTAGTTTATAAGGAAAAAGGTGTGTTGGGGGGAGGTTGTAGGAGCAAGTATATCTTTCCAAGATAGCCATTTGTGGCCCCCAAATCTTTGGAAGCTGTCCATCCTTGTTTAGATGTTATTGTACACAAATGTTAAAATACTGCGATGAGATTATTACTGGAGGATAAATAAATAATGGGAATAAATAAATGAACGAGGTATCTTTTTCATAGCTTAGAAATCTGAATTAATGGTGTACTATTTTTGTTTGTTTGATCTTTTGTTTTAGTTGTTTAATGTACACTATTTAATTTTGTAAGTGATAGGCCTGGTATTAGACATTAGACCCTTCAATGAGTGCAGTCTCTCCAAAAATTTGGGCCCCTTACAGTGATCTCTTTGGGAAGTCTTAAGCAAAGTAATGTTCCTCAGTTTCAGCCAATCACCTGTGTGAACTTATACTATTGTAAGGGTTATTGAGAAAATGCATGTAGTGTGCTTTGAACATTATATTTTAGTATGCAAATACTAAATAATAATCTCAGCATGCGGACATTTCTTGCTTAGTTACATTTGATAGCTGCTGATTATCATAACTGCATTAGTAACTGTAAAATGTGCTGTTATTTCATAGTCAACATAAAGGAGATTTTTAAGAAATAATTATTACTTATTCAAGTGGCAGGAAGCCTATTACACACAAATCCAGGAGGCTCTAAGTGGTCAAACACTGTAAACATGCAAGCCAGCTACTGATTTCAAAATTTAAAGGTCAGGAACACAGGTAGACTTCCAGTCAGCCTATGCAGAATGTCAAAAGGTGTTGCTTATATACCAAGCATACCTCAAGGGCAGTCAACTGAGACTTTCTAAAATGAAGGAAAGCTGGGCAAGACCACATTGCACTCATTTTTACTGAATAAAATGTGGAGGGCGTGTTGCTTATATACCAAGCATACCTCAAGAGCAGTCAACTGAGACTTTTTCTAAAATGAAGGAAAGCCGGGCAAAACCACATTGCATTCATTTTTACTGAATTAAATGCGGAGGGTGGGGTAAACACTTATTTTATGAAATTTCATGGATAAATTTTACTAAATGAAAGTCATGCTAACCTTAAAGAACCTACATCTCTGCAGAGTAAAAATTCCAGTTCTATGTTTCCACAGGAAAAGCAGAATTCATGAATGTTGTTGGGTTTCTGTGACATGCTACAAAAGAAGAGTTGGATACTCATCTTATACACTGAGTTGCTGAAAAGGGCCACATAACATTTCCAGACTGTGTCTTGGAAGTTATAGGCTGAACCTCAATGAGATCCATGACCTTTGGGTGGTGCCTAATGAAGGAGCATTAAATGCAGTTTTGAGTTTCTACAGATGGTCTGTGGCTCATGAAGAATAATTATATCATGTTCTGGAGTCAGAGACTGATCACAAAAATCAAACTGTCTGGTAGAAAGTGTATTAAAAGTTTTAGTATTGAAAGAGCAAGTTACCCATTATTTATTTATTTATTTGATTGATTGATTTTTACCCCACCCCTCTAGACCATGTCTATGAGGCTTCAGTCTATTTGGCTTGGGTCCAAGTTATCTCAAGGACCACATCTCACTTTACGAGACTGTTCGGGTTTTAGGATTATCAGGAGAAGCCTTTTTTTTAATTTGGTCCCACCACCTTCACAAGTGCATTTGGTGGGGACACCGGCAAAGGTCTTCTTGGTCACTGCTCCCAAACTCTGGAACTCACTCCCACAGGAGACTAGGCAGGCCCCATCTTTGCTGTCCATCTGTAAATCGGCAAATACCTTTCTCTTCAGGCAAGCTTTCCCTCAGGGACTCCCAACCTGAGTGAGGTTTTTGAATGGATTGTTGTGCCTTTGAATGGATTGCTGTGCTTTGAATGTAGTTTTGGTGTTGCTTTTCTTTACTTTATTTGTTTGATCTTTTTAAATATTTGTATACTTACTGTTTTTAGATTTAATTATTGCCTTCTAACAATGTATGGCACTTTGGGTCCTTTTTAAGAGATATGTGGGGTAAAAATATTTTACACACACACACACACACACACCTACCTTGCAGGTCTCAATGCAAGTATTTCACCCCCCAATTCTGGTTTCAGGAATAGACTGAATATGTGGTCAAAATACATGCTCCCTTTGCCCAACAGATTCACGAGCATTGGCCACAAATGGCTTTCTAGGTCACTTTAAAATGCCATATACATGGGTAGAAAGATGTTGGCAGAAACAGCATTCAGGTACAAGAACTCACTTATGTTTCAAAAGGACAGAGGGATTCCCCAAGAATGCAAACCACAGTGAGAACAATGTTAACTATTTTTTAGAAGGGCAAAATCTAAATTCTGTATTTGGCTAACGGGGCAATCAAAGCGGGGAGGGGGCTGCATTCAGGGAGATATGCTCACCTGTATGTTTCAAAAGAAAAAGGAGAAGCAACTCTCACTTCTGCTTTGAAACTGTGTAAACGGTAATATAAAACCCTGCAAAGCAAGAAACCATTTGACTCCTGCTGTTATTCGAGTTATTGATTCATTTCTTTGGAGGAAACACCTAACTCAGCACCCTTGCTTGTTACCTGACAGGCGGTCTGTGATCTCCTGCAGTGCCCGGCCACTGACAAAACGCACCCTGCTGGCAAATGTCTGAAGCAGCAGCAGATTATCTGAAAGAGACAGAAACACCTTTTTGTCTGACAATTATCATCAACCAAGGGGAAAAAAAGAATTAGATGCAGGGGGGGGGGAGAGACATTTATCTGTATCACATAACAGACACTTATGTCTTATTTTCTTTAAGAATTAACTGAGAAGATTTGAGATTTGCAGATCTTTAGGTTGGTTTGCACATCCCTGACAGTCCTTCATGACAGCAAGCCTACAACTGAGTGTTTGAATCAGATCCGCTAAAAGACAATTAAGACTGAAACACTAAGAGATGATAGAAACATTGTTTTTGTGACACAGGATCTGTGATGTCCTGGTTGTCCCAGCGCTTGGAATGAATTACTTTTTTTCCAACTACCCCTCCCAGAATCCTTCAGCCAGCATAGCTGTAGTCCAAAAAAGTAAGATTCCCCCGTTCTGATCTGTACACACAAATGATTGAAGAAGTTGCAATCATAGCATAGAAAACTTTGTGCCTCACCTGTATGCCTCCATATAAAACAGATGAGGGCAACTTGTGGGACTCATGATGTTGGAGGACTACAACTCCTATCATCCTAAGATGCTGACTGCTGCACTCTGTCAACATCAGGAGGGCTGTTACATTGCTCATCCCTTAAATAAAGTTTAACTACCAATGGACCAATGCATTTCTTCCTCTTCTTTAGAGCATAGTTTCCCAAAGCATCTGCATCAATTAAAGATCCCAATTTATCATCTTGTAATTAACTACACCACAGAAATAGTACAGTTCAAAAAGCAAAGTATTTTACATACAAAATTTAAAATAATAATTAATGAGTCATAGCAAAAACTAGTCTCCACAGGCAAAATACAGAACTCTGTGCTTCTGTATTTGTTGTTATTGTTGTAATGCAAAGCAGCCAGCTAATAGGAAGTTCTCGCCCCCTCTTGGATGCAATTTTGATTCATCAGGGGAATAATTTGACACCCTGAAGGGATTAAGAGTGGGTGGACTGGTTGGAAGCCTCCATCAAAGAAGTAGGTCTAGATTCTCAATCACAGTGGAAAGATATAGGTACTAATCATCATGTGATTCTGACAGTGATAGCAAAAAAACCACTGATGCACAGCAAGAGGCACTGGCAGCCCACGTGCTTGTGGAAGCTTTACATCTGAGAATCAAAATGGCAGCTTAACATCTAATTAGCCTTAAGTCACTATGCACGCTCAGGGCAGCTTGTGATTCCCTCAGATCTTGTTACTGCAAAGCAGCCTGCGGAACATCACCAAGAACATCCTCTTTGCCTCACATGTGCCATGTAGGAGATGAGAAGGAGTATTCAGAGCTGGTGGGGGGGAGCACTAATTGTACTGAAGGGGAAAACAGAACAAGAGCGAGAATAGGGACACTGCAAAATAGCTCTCCAGACTAATGCACTGTGTGCCTCACAAAGAATAATATTGTTTCATCATGTAGCATTGATTTGCATATGTGGAAAAACAGCCATAAGCAAAATGGGGAAGGGGGGAGAGAAGAAATGCAGTATGGTCTCAACTATTCAAGTACCAGGTATCAAATGCAGCTGTGACATGCAGCTGGAGCACTTAATAAAGCAGAGGTGGGGGATTTTGGACTTCCAGATGATTTGAAGCCCAAATCCAGCCATTCATTACTACTAGCAGCTGTACTATCTGGGATTCTGAGAATTCAAACGGTTTGGCCAGCCAAAGGTTTCTCGCCATTGTAGAAAAGGGAATGAGACACCTATTCCAGTTTCACTCTGAAATCTACCTGCACTATCCATATCTAATATACCTTTTTAAAAAGCTGCTCTAATAATTGGCAGTGGCTTCCCAAACTCTTGAGATTCGGCAGTGCTTAAGGGCCACCTGATATAAGATGCAAAGAGCTGTTATACTGAATCTGTAAGTTTTAAAAAATTAGACATTCCAAAGCTCTTAAACATGCAAATCACCTGTACCGCTGAGTAATTGTTACTGCCACCAAAGCACCGCCTTGATTTGTCCGTCAGGCTCAGTCAACAAGGAATACTATGGCTTCATGAGGTTGACCCAGGTTGGTGGCTTTCCCTTTCCCAAGACAAGTACCAATATATATTTTTGGATCCATGTAAGGTATTTCTACCCAATGTGATTTCTGACAGTTTTATGCCAATAAAGGTTATGATGATGATGGTGGTGATTTCTGACAGAAGTAAAATTATAATAGGTAAGAGGTTTTCAAATAGAGCTCAGGAATGTGTAGCCCTCCAGATGTTGAGAGCTGACACAGATCAGAAGCAAAGATCAGGAGCAGAACACGTGTTTTGCTGGTAGAAGGTCCTAAGTTCAACCCTCAGTATCTCCAGATAGATTGAAAGAACAGCTATCTGACTTTAATGGAGCAAAAAAGGGAAGATGAAATTGTGAAGGACTGCATGGTAAAATGGGCTCAAAATATAGGTCATAATATAGAACTAAGTGCCTGGTCACAAATTTGGGAACGAAATATTAAAATGACTAAATCTATAAATCTAAAAGAAAGTATATACAAAATGTTTTACAGATGGTATGTAACACCAGAGAAATAAACAAAAATGTATAAGAATGTTTCTAATAAGAGTTGGAAATGTGAAAAGAAAGTAGGGAGCTTCTATCATATGTGGTGGATGTGCAGCAGGGCCAAGGAATTTTGGAATATGATTCACGAAATGAAAGAGAAAATTTTAGGGGTTAAAATTGCTTTGACACCAGAAATTTTCTTATTGAATATATTACCAGCTACACTTGAAAAAAAAAACAAGACTTACTTGACCTTACACCTGATAACTGCAGCTAGAATTGTATATGCCAGTAAGTGGAAGACTACAACAATGCCGACAAAGAAGGAATTTATTGAGAAGATTTTGGAACTAGCAGAAATGGGTATTTTGACAGATACAATAAACGACAGACTGGATAATAATAAATGGGAACCTCTTTATACCTGGATGAAATCTACACCGATTTAAGTAGAATAGATTAGATTAATATTATGTTAGAGAGTATAAGAAAAGATGAAATGAATGGAACATATTGTAATAAATCACTCAGGTTGCAACAGATAGAAAAGTAGAACAAATACAATAAAAATATTTATTAAATGAAAGAACTGTCTGAACCATTGGAGAGTTGCTGCCAGTCAATATGGACACTGATGTGACTCAGTGTAGGGCAGCCTCCAACCCGGTCAAGCCTACAAAGCACAGCCAACATCTGGAGGGTCATAGGTTCTCCAACCTACTTTGGAATGTGTTTTACTTCATCTGATATGACTGAATGTGCTGCACGGATGCTGTACTGGATTTTTTTTTTAAAGCGTGACCAAACACCCCAAGCCCTAATAGTTGAGTGAAGTTGTTCTGCAAGTAAATAAATAAAATCATATTGTGTGGAGGGCTCTCAATAGTTTTTTTTAAGAGAACGCTTTTCTTAACCACTTGACCCTTCAGTTTATGCAGCAAAGGATCAACTACAACTAAGCTAAGAAAACAGAGAACAACAAAAAAAAAATCAATTTTCTGTCTGACGCTTTCTTTTTTTCCAAGGATGATGATGGGTGTGCTGAGCCAGACAGCAATGTTAGTTCAGTGATGAATGAAAAGAACAACTGCCATGTTTCAGCAGGATGAATAAAATGCTTTGAAGTGTTAATGTAAGATGTAGAGGTGTCAGGCAAGGTATTAATTATTAATAATCATTCCCTGATTAGTCTCCGTAAAGGTTTTAGTTCACCTTTAAGACGGCCTTTGAAAACTCATTTTAAAGCAAATGTCATACATGTTTGCCTTTCTTTTCTTTGTCATTCTACGATGTGCAGTGCATTTCAAAATATCCCCTACCCATGAAAGCACCAATAAGCAATTGGTAGGAGTTTAGCTTCAGATGGGCTTTAGGAGGTGAAGAAAAGAGCTGCCGTCCATATGACAGCAAAGCTTTCCTTTCTCTCTGTCACTGCTCTTTCATAAATGATAAATTAGTGATCAGTCACCAGATAAGAAGCTCAGCTTTTGAAATGCAGTGGAAGGACACCCCGTCTCCTTTGAATTCATATCGCCATTTGATCTACACAAGCAATACCCTTTTGGCAAGCAGAAGCTTGATGAAACATCCAAAAATGAATTTTTGATGGCTCTTTATTGCTTACTCTGGGAAAACTGGGAAAGGTATTGGATGCCATAAGATCACTTACTGTCAGGCCTATTGATCAATGCAAAGACAACCCGTTGCTCTCCAGACATTCCATTTTTCTTACCTAGAAGACATTACCAAATGGGAAAGAGCGTGCATATTACCATGGAGGACAACCCCAGTTACAAATGAGTTTATATAATGCGGCTTTGTGCCTATGGGGCTTTTGACCTAGGAAGAAAAATAAGCAAGGGAGATATGACAGAAATGGATGAAATTAGTTTCTGCCTCTCTCAAACTGTGAAAACCGGAGATACAATGAAGCTGAATGGTTGGAAATTCAGAAGCAAGACAACAATTTTGGGGAACATGGGTATGAGGAAGCTTTGAGGCCCTGTTTGTGAGTTTGCCATGAGCAACTGTTTTGTCACTGTAGGGGAAAGATACTGGACTAGATTAAAGTTTAGTCTTTTCCAGTAGCATCTTCTTATTTTAAACCACATCTAGAGACAGAAGTTCTCATTTCATTATTTTGGCCTCAAAATATCTACAAACATGTACTTAGAGTTCCTCAGCAAGACATGGCAATCATTAATACTTCCTTACAGACTGGCCTTCTAGGGTGATGGGTCATAAATCATCAATATATGACAGCAAATCCCAGTCAAAAGATAGAAATCAAGTTCCCTCCTAACTCTGAACGTGCACAAGAAGCAATCATGGGGGGTTTGGACTCATGTTGGGCCTTATAGCCCCAACTTAATTATTCTATCATTCCAGATTCTCAGTAGTTCTGATTTCCAGAAAATGTGTTCCACTTACATCATTTTCATTAATAATGAGTTGTCACTCAAGACTATATTTT